TCGGGGGGTTTTTGAGGTTTTTTGGGGTTTTCAACCCCGAATTTCGCTGCCCTGACCCCGATTTTGGCCCCCCCAGGTCGGACTGCGAGCGCCCCGGCCCCGAGCTCTGCTCCTTCCCCTCGGCCAACGTCTCCCTGCTGGGGGAGCACCGCGAGAAGGTTCCGGAAACCCCAAATTCCCGGGGCCGGGGGGACCTGGAGATGGCCCCAAAAAAACGGGGATGAGGGGCAAAAATATCCCCAAAATTTGGGGATTTTAGCCCAAAAATTTGGGGATTTTATCCCAAAAATTTGGGGATTTTAGCCCAAAAAAATGGGGGATGAGGGGCAAAAATATCCCCAAAATTTGGGGATTTTGGGGCAAAAATATCCCAAAAATTTGGGGATTTTAGCCCAAAAAAATGGGGATTTTATCCCAAAAATTTGGGGATTTTATCCTAAAAATTTGGGGATTTGGAGCCAAAATATCCCAAAAATTTGGGGGATTCTGGGTCAAAATATCCCAAAAATTTGGAGATTTTAGCCAAAAAATTTGGGGATTTGGGGGCCAAAATATCCCAAAAATTTGGGGATTTTATCCCAAAAAAATGGGGGATGAGGGGCAAAAATATCCCAAAAATTTGGGGATTTGGGGGCAAAAATATCCCAAAACTTTGGGGATTTATCCCAAAAAATTTGGGGATTTGGAGTCAATATATCCCAAAAATTTGGGGATTTTAGCCCAAAAATTTGGGGATTTTAGCCCAAAAAAATGGGGGATTTGGAGTCAAAATATCCCAAAAATTTGGGGATTTGGGGTCAAAATATTCCAAAAATTTGGGGATTTATCCCAAAAAAATGGGGATGAGGGGCAAAAATATCCCAAAAATTTGGGGATTTTGGGGCCAAAATATCCCAAAAATTTGGGGGATTTGGAGTCAAAAATATCCCCAAAATTTGGGGATTTTAGCCCAAAAAATTTGGGGATTTGGAGCCAAAATATCCCCAAAATTTGGGGATTTTAGCCCAAAAATTTGGGGATTTGGGGAAAAATATCCCAAAAATTTGGGGGATTCAGGGCAAAACTCTCTGGGAATGTGGGAATTCTTTGGGAATGTGGGAATTCTTTGGGAATTTGGGAATTTGGGATTTATTTGGGATTGATTTGGGATTTATTTGGGAATGATTTGGGATTTATTTGGGATTTATCCCATCCAGCTGTTGCTCTATGGGCAGCTGGACCGGATCTCTCTGGGAATTTGGGATTTTGGGATTTATTTGGGAATTTGGGAATGATTGATTTGGGAATGTTCCCATCCGTGGGAATTTGGGATTGATTTGGGATTGATTTGGGATTTATTTGGGAATGCGCAGCTGTTGCTGTACGGTCAGCTGTACCGGATCCCTCTGGGAATGTGGGAATTCTTTGGGAATTTGGGAATGATTTATTTGGGATTTATTTGGGATTTATTTGGGATTTATTTGGGAATTCTTTGGGAATTTGGGAATGATTTATTTGGGAATGATTTATTTGGGAATGATTTATTTGGGATTGATTTATTTGGGATTTATCCCATCCAGCTGTTGCTGTATGGTCAGCTGTACCGGATCTCTCTGGGAATGTGGGAATGTGGGAATTCAGGATTGATTTGGGATTGATTTGGGATTGATTTGGGATTGATTTGGGATTTATTTGGGATTGATTTGGGATTTATCCCGTGCAGCTGTTGCTGTACGGTCAGCTGGACCGGATCTCTCTGGGAATGTGGGAATGTGGGAATTTGGGAATTCTTTGGGATTTATTTGGGATTGATTTGGGATTGATTTGGGATTTATTTGGGATTTATCCCGTGCAGCTGTTGCTCTATGGGCAGCTGTACCGGATCTCCCTGGGAATGTGGGAATTCGGGAATTCAGGATTTATTTGGGATTGATTTGGGAATTCTTTGGGAATTTGGGAATGATTTATTTGGGATTTATCCCGTGCAGCTGTTGCTCTATGGTCAGCTGTACCGGATCCCTCTGGGAATGTGGGAATGTGGGAATTCAGGATTTATTTGGGATTGATTTGGGAATGATTTGGGAATGTTCCCATCCAGCTGTTGCTGTACGGTCAGCTGTACCGGATCTCCCTGGGAATGTGGGAATTCAGGAATTTGGGATTTATTTGGGATTGATTTGGGAATGATTTGGAATTTATCCCATCCAGCTGTTGCTCTATGGTCAGCTGTACCGGATCTCTCTGGGAATTTGGGAATTTGGGATTGATTTGGGATTTATTTGGGAATTCTTTGGGAATGTCCAGCTGTTGCTCTATGGGCAGCTGTACCGGATCCCTCTGGGAATTTGGGAATTTGGGAATGATTTATTTGGGATTTATTTGGGAATTTGGGAATGCCCAGGTGTTGCTGTACGGTCAGCTGTACCGGATCTCTCTGGGAATGTGGGAATTTGGGAATTCAGGAATTTGGGATTTATTTGGGATTGATTTGGGATTGATTTGGGATTTATCCCATCCAGCTGTTGCTCTATGGTCAGCTGTACCGGATCTCTCTGGGAATTTGGGAATTTGGGATTGATTTGGGATTTATTTGGGAATTCTTTGGGAATGTCCAGCTGTTGCTCTATGGGCAGCTGTACCGGATCCCTCTGGGAATTTGGGAATTTGGGAATGATTTATTTGGGATTTATTTGGGAATTTGGGAATGCCCAGGTGTTGCTGTACGGTCAGCTGTACCGGATCTCTCTGGGAATGTGGGAATTTGGGATTGATTTGGGATTGATTTGGGAATGATTTGGGATTTATCCCATCCAGGTGTTGCTCTATGGTCAGCTGTACCGGATCTCCCTGGAGCTGGAGCTGCCGGAGTCTCCGGTGAATCGCGAGCTCGGGATGTTCATGGTGAGGCTGACGTGCTACGGGAGCGGCGGGAAAACCCTGGCCACCGCCTCCAGATCCGTGAGTCGGGAATATCGGGAATATCGGGAATATCGGGAATATCGGGAATGTCATTGGGAATGTCGGGATGTTCATGGTGAGGCTGACGTGCTACGGGAGCGGCGGGAAAACCCTGGCAACGGCCTCCAGATCCGTGAGTGACAGCGGGAATATCGGGAATGTCATTGGGAATATCGGGGGAATATCGGGAATATCGGGAATGGTATCGGGATGTTCATGGTGAGGCTGACGTGCTACGGGAGCGGCGGGAAAACCCTGGCAACGGCCTCCAGATCCGTGAGTCGGGAATATCGGGAATATCGGGAATTGTATCGGGAATGGTATCGGGAATATCGGGAATATCATTGGGAATATCGGGAATATCGGGAATGGTATCGGGAATATCGGGAATATCGGGGGAATATCGGGGGAATATCGGGAATATCGGGAATGTCGGGAATATCATTGGGAATATCGGGAATGTCGGGATGTTCATGGTGAGGCTGACGTGCTACGGGAACGGCGGGAAAACCCTGGCAACGGCCTCCAGATCCGTGAGTGACAGCGGGAATTGTATCGGGAATTGTATCGGGAATATCGGGAATATCGGGAATTGTATCGGGAATATCGGGAATGTCGGGAATGTCGGGATGTTCATGGTGAGGCTGACGTGCTACGGGAACGGCGGGAAAACCCTGGCCACCGCCTCCAGATCCGTGAGTCGGGAATGTCGGGAATATCGGGAATTATATCGGGAATATCGGGAATATCATTGGGAATATCGGGAATTGTATCGGGAATGGTATCGGGAATATCGGGAATATCATTGGGAATATCGGGAATATCGGGAATGGTATCGGGAATATCGGGAATGTCGGGAATATCATTGGGAATATCGGGAATGTCGGGATGTTCATGGTGAGGCTGACGTGCTACGGGAACGGCGGGAAAACCCTGGCAACGGCCTCCAGATCCGTGAGTGACAGCGGGAATTGTATCGGGAATTGTATCGGGAATATCGGGAATATCGGGAATTGTATCGGGAATATCGGGAATGTCGGGAATGTCGGGATGTTCATGGTGAGGCTGACGTGCTACGGGAACGGCGGGAAAACCCTGGCCACCGCCTCCAGATCCGTGAGTCGGGAATTGTATCGGGAATATCGGGAATATCGGGAATATCGGGGGAATATCGGGAATATCGGGAATGTCGGGAATGGTATCGGGAATATTGGGAATATCGGGAATGTCGGGATGTTCATGGTGAGGCTGACATGCTACGGGAACGGCGGGAAAACCCTGGCAACGGCCTCCAGATCTGTGAGTCGGGAATGTCGGGAATATCGGGAATTGTATCGGGAATATCGGGAATGGTATCGGGAATATCGGGAATATCGGGAATATCGGGAATATCGGGAATGTCGGGAATATCGGGATGTTCATGGTGAGGCTGACGTGCTACGGGAACGGCGGGAAAACCCTGGCCACCGCCTCCAGATCCGTGAGTGACAGCGGGAATATCGGGAATATCGGGAATTGTATCGGGAATATCGGGAATATCGGGAATTGTATCGGGAATATCGGGAATTGTATCGGGAATATCGGGAATGTCGGGAATTGTATCGGGAATATCGGGAATATCGGGAATGTCGGGAATATCATTGGGAATATCGGGAATATCGGGAATGCGGGAATATCGGGAATGTCGGGAATGTCATTGGGAATATCGGGAATATCGGGAATGCTATCGGGAATATCGGGAATTGTATCGGGAATATCGGGAATATCGGGAATATCGGGAATGGTATCGGGAATATCGGGAATATCGGGATGTTCATGGTGAGGCTGACGTGCTACGGGAGCGGCGGGAAAACCCTGGCCACCGCCTCCAGATCCGTGAGTCGGGAATGTCGGGAATGTCGGGAATTGTATCGGGAATATCGGGAATTGTATCGGGAATATCAGGAATGTCATTGGGAATATCGGGAATATCGGGAATATCGGGAATATCGGGAATATCGGGAATATCGGGAATATCGGGAATATCGGGAATTGTATCGGGAATATCGGGAATGTCGGGAATTGTATCGGGAATATCGGGAATTGTATCGGGAATGTCGGGAATATCGGGATGTTCATGGTGAGGCTGACGTGCTACGGGAACGGCGGGAAAACCCTGGCAACGGCCTCCAGATCCGTGAGTGACACCGGGAATATTGGGAATATCGGGAATATCGGGAATTGTATCGGGAATTGTATCGGGAATTGTATTGGGAATATCGGGAATGTCGGGAATATCATTGGGAATATCGGGAATGTCATTGGGAATATCGGGAATGTTGGGAATATCGGGAATGGTATCGGGAATATCGGGAATTGTATCGGGATGTTCATGGTGAGGCTGACGTGCTACGGGAGCGGCGGGAAAACCCTGGCAACGGCCTCCAGATCCGTGAGTGACAGCGGGAATATCGGGAATATCGGGAATGGTATCGGGAATATCGGGAATATCGGGATGTTCATGGTGAGGCTGACGTGCTACGGGAACGGCGGGAAAACCCTGGGAAAACCCTGGCCACCGCCTCCAGATCCGTGAGTCGGGAATTGTATCGGGAATATCGGGAATTGTATCGGGAATATCGGGAATATCGGGAATATCGGGAATGGTATCGGGAATATCGGGAATGTCGGGATCAGGGAGAGCCCCAAGCACGGCCTCGAGATCGGTGAGTGGGGAATATCGGGAATATCGGGAATATCGGGAATGGGAACATCGGGAACATTGGGAATTGGGAATTGTGTCGGGAATATCGGGAATGGGAATATCGGGAATTGTATCGGGAATGGGATCAGAGAGAGCCCCAAGCACGGCCTCGAGATCGGTGAGTGGGGAATGTTGGGAATATCGGGAATGGTATCGGGAATATCAGGAATGGTATCAGGAATGTCGGGAATATCGGGAATGGTATCGGGAATATCGGGAATATCGGGATCAGGGAGAGCCCCGGGCTCGGCCTCGCGCTCCGTGAGGAATTCCAGGGCTTTTGGGGGAATTTGAGGTTTTTGGGACCAAATTCCCGGGATTTTGGGGAATTTTGAGGTTCCTGGGCTGGAATTCCCAGGATCGGGGTGGATTTGGGGTTGATCTGGATGGGTTTTTTGGGATCCGGTTGGATCCGGTTGGATTTGGGTGGATTTGGGCTGGAATTCCCGGGATTTGGGTTGGATTTTGTGGGATTTGGGTGGGATTTGGGTTGAATTTGGTTGGATTTGGTTGAATTTTGGTTGGATCTGGATGGTTTCTGGGTGAATTTGGTTGGATTTTGTGCGATTTGGGTGGGATTTGGGTGGATTTCGTGGAATTTGGTTGGATTTGGGTG